CTACTACTACTACTATTATTATTATTCATGATGATGGTGATGATGATGATGTTGGAAGGGACCTTGGAGGTCATCTAGTCCAACCCCCTGCTCAGGCAGGAAACCCTATACCAGTGATGGTGAACCTTTTAGAGACCGAGTGCCCAAACTGCAACCCAAAACCCACTTATGTATCGCCGGGTGCTGGGTGGGTGTGGCCCACTTGGCGGGCGCAGCTACAGTGGGCATGGCAGACTGGGTGAGCGTGGCCACTGGATGTGTGTGGCTGCAGTAGTCATGGCAGACTGGGTGGGCACGGCCGGGGGGCGTGGCCACCTCGATGTTGCTTATGAGGAGGGACACCTGTGGGAGCTGGACAGGGCAGGGTTGGGGGAGATCCAGGGGGTCTCTGGCGGGTGGGATGGTGGGCTCCCCAATGGCGGCTCCAGGCTGGCTGGTCTTAGGCCAGTGATGGCGAACTTTTAGAGACCACGTGTGCTGGGGTGATGGCGCGTGCCCACAGAGAGGGCTCCGCGTGCCGCCTCTGGCATGCGTACCATAGGTTCGCCACCACTGCCCTATACCATTTCAGACAAATGGCTGTCCAGTCTCTTCTTAAAAACTTCCAGTGTTGGGGGCAACATGCTAGACATAACCAATTCCAGCAACCGTTTCTTATATGTTTTAGCCTCCAGTCCCCTAATCATCTTTGTTGCTCTTCTCTGTACTCTTTCTAGAGTCTCAGCATCTTTTTTACATCATGGTGACCAAAACTGGATGCAGTATTCCAAGTGTGGCCTTACTAAGGCATTGTAAAGTGGTACTAACACGTCACGTGATCTTGATTCTATCCCTCTGTTAATGCAGCCCAGCACTGTGTTGGCCTTTTTGGCAGCTGCAGCACACGGCTGGCTCATATTTAAGTGATTGTCCACTAGGACTCCGAGGTCCCTCTCACAGTTACTACTATTGAGCAAGTTACACCCTATACTATACCTGTACATTTGGGTTTTTCTTGCCTAAGTGTAGAACCTTGCTTTTTTCACCATTGAATTTCATTTTGTTAGATAGCGCCCAGTGTTCAAGTCTGTCCAGACTCTCCTGTATCCTAAGCCTGTCTTCTGGAGTGTTGGCTATTCCTGCCAGCTTGGTCTCATCCACAAATTTGATGAGTTCCCCATCTATCCCCTCGTCCAAATCATTGATGTTGAAGAGCACTGGGCCTAGAACAGAGCCCTGGGGCACCCCACTACACACTTCCCTCCATGTAGATGCAGTTCCATTGAGGACCACACGCTGAGTACGGCCGGTCAGTCAGCTACAGATCCATCTGGTGGTGATGCTGTCTAACCCACATTTTTTTTCAACTTCAGGATCTGGCCTTCTAAAAAGCATTCAGGGTTGATCTCTTGTACTCACAGGATTGTTGCTGGGGGCAAAATTAACAAAATAACAAGAGTTGGAAAAGGGACCTTGGAGGACTTCTAGTCCAACCCCCCTTAGCCAAGCAGGAGACCCAATATCATTTCAGACAAATGGCCATCCAATCTTTTTAAAAGCCACCAGTGACAATAAGCAGAGCCATTCATTCCCTGCCAGTTTTAGGCAAGCGGCACCTAAACCAAGATTGTCAGCTTGAATCTTAAATCGTAAACCAGTTGTTGTTGTTTTTAAAAGAAGTCCCACCTCTCTGCCAGAAATGGACTCGGCCACTTCACAAGTGCTACCCTCTCCCCATCTGCCAATGTTAAGCAAGCCCACCTGCCACAGGTAATCCTGAGCCGGCGTGGCTCAGCTTGGAAACCTCTCCCTTTCCCTTCAGCATGGCTGGCTCAGGAATTCTGGGAGTTGAAGTCCACAAGTCATAAAAGGGCCAAAGTTGCCTACCCCTGGTATAGGTAGTCCTCCTAAAATTGGGTGTTACTTATATTGCCTTGCTTCGCAGTGGAAATTCTGGCCCAATAATGGCTGTAGATCAGACATGTCAAACACAAGTCCCGGGGGCCGGACGCGGCCCGCGAAATGGTTTCATGTGGCCCGCGAAGCCATCCTGGAAACAGTGAAGGAACAGCCCCCGTTGCCTTGGCCCTGGCCCAGGCCGGCCGGGAGCCAATGTACAATTTTGTGGTGGCCATGTTGGCACTTGCCCCAGTGGACCATGCCTTGGCACTTGCCCCGGTCCCATCCCCTTCCGCCAGAGACCCTCAGATCTGTCCCACTCCTGCCCAGGCCCCCCCATAGGCACCCTTGACGCGAATGATGTAGAACTGGCCACGCCCGCCCAGTAGGCCACACCCACTCCATCCAGGCCCACCCATTAGGCTGCACCCACCTGCCCGCCCAGGGCAACCGCAACGCTGATGCGGCCCTCAGTGAAATTGAGTTTGAACACCCCTGCTGTAGATTGAGGACCATCTTTACTTAAGAGACAATTGGTATACTATTCACCAGCCATTCTGCAATTTCCCTCATCCTTCTCCATTGTTTTACCGGCATCCCGATAAGTCATCACTGTCATCCTTTCCACCAATCGGTTTTAAGTCTTTTATCAGTGGGCTGGTCTTATTTTCCTTTTTTTTTTTTTTTAAAACCATCGGATGGAGCAATCTGTCAGGTGCAATCCCGACATCTGCCTGTCCTGCAATGCAATCCTTTTCTTCTGCAGCCTTCAAAGAAAGGGGTAGGGGATGCTGCCACTCAATCTTTCCCAATTTCTCTGTGAGTTGTGCTGATACTAGCCCTCAAGGTGACACAACACATAGGACAGAACAGGAACACCGTTATTTGACTTTCTTGATTAAAAAAACAAACAAACTGAAGGTGAAGACTTAGCTTTTTCCAAGGGCGGGAAGATTCTCATCAGATCTCAAAGACTTCATAATAATAATAATAATAATAATAATAATAATAATAATAATAATAATAATAATAATAATAATAATAATAATAATAATAATCCAGGCTCTTCTTAAAAACCTCCAGTGTTGGAGCATTCACCGCTTCTGGAGGCAGGTTGTTCCACTGGTTAATTGTTCTGTCAGGAAGTTTCTCCTTAGTTCTAGGTTGCTTCTCTCCTTGGTTAGTTTCCACCCGTTGCTTCTTGTCCTGCCTTCAGGCGCTTTGGAGAATAGCTTGACTCCCTCTTCTTTGTGGCAGCCCCTGAGATATTGGAACTCTGCTATCATGTCCCCCCTCGTCCTTCTCTTCGTTAAACTAGACATACCCAATTCCAGCAACCGTTCCTTATATGCTTTAGCCTCCAGTCCCCTAATCATCTTTGTTGCTCTTCTCTGTACTCTTTCTAGAGTCTCAACATTTTTTTTAACATCGTGGTGACCAAAATAATAAAAAGTTGGAAGGGACCTCGGAGGTCATCTAGTCCAACCCCTGCCCAGGCAGGAAACCCTACGCCATTTCGGATAAATAGCTGTACAGTTTCTTCTTTAAAACTTCCAGTGTTGGAGCATTCACTGCTTCTGGAGGCAGGTTGTTCCACTGGTTAATTGTTCTAACTGTCAGGAAGTTTCTCCTTAGTTCTAGGTTGCTTCTCTCCTTGCTTAGTTTCCACCCGTTGCTTCTTGTCCTGCCCTCAGGCGCCTTGGAAAATAGAATTTCTATTGCTAAGCCAAACTGTTGTTAAGTACATCATTGTCAGAACTGGCACCTCACATTCGCCTTACACCTTTGCTTTGGTGCCGGTCTGCCATGAGCTGCAGGGGCGCCCTAATTCCCTCCCCCCCCTCCCCGACTTAAAATTAAGCTGCCGACACCAAAATCCAATTTAGAAAGACTTTATTAAATCTGGACGAAAGAGAGATCTGAAGAGAAAGAAAGCAGGGTGCAGTAGAAAAGAACGATTAAATAAAAGTAGCTTCTACGACGCCTATATTGAATCACTATAAGCCAAGGTCCATTAACTTGCATCCGACAGCATGGATCTCCATGTGCGTTAAGCCAAAGACGAGAGAGAAAGGAAATAAAAAATGCCTGCTATTACTTTGAGGTAAAGGGGGGGTGGAGGGGGTGGGAGGAAGAGGAGGAGGAGGGCTGAAAGGAAGGGAGGAAACCCCACCAGTCGGAAGCTGGTTGAGCCCTCCTGAAAGAGAAGTGGCTCACTCATCCTCGCCGAAGCGAGAAACCAAAGGGGATAGACGGGCTCGCTCTGGTAGACCCTCGGCGTGACGATTCCAGCAGGCCTTCCTCTCGCGATGCCAAATTCATGGCTGCCTTTGGGCCGCAGACCTCTGCAGCCACGTGTCTCCTGGACAGGGACCGTTTTCCTGATAGGGGACAGCGCTTTAGGATGGAACCCAACTCGATTCCATCCATCCCATGACCAGAAGTCTGCTCTCTTCAATGTCCATTCCTCACTCCCCCCCCCAAAAAATGCCAGGCGCCAAATCAACACCCTGCAGCAGCTCGGGAGAAATCAAAACGAGCAGGAGCACCCAGCCGGAACCGGAGCGCGCCAAAATGTTCACGTTGAACCGGTTATAGGGTACATGCAATCAAAACGTTGAGTAGTGCTGTTCATTAAATCAACTCACTTAAAATATGTTTTTTTTTAAAAAAAAAAATCTAAGAGGTAAGGAAAAGGGGGGGAAAAAACCACAATGGCAATAGAGACAATCAGTCCTATTCGCCTTCATACGATCGGGACTACCTCCCCCAAAATAAAAAAAATCATTGTTTTGTTCCGGCTGTCTGTTAAGCGATGCAGCCCTGGAAGTCAACAGAGAAGGTACGACGCCGTACCTGGTGGAAAAAACAAAAACTAATATAAAGGCGAGAGAAGAGCTTTCCGCCTTCTCCTGCCAACGAGTCTTTTCATGCACGAGGAGTTCTCTCCCATCGGCACTCTCCCATCGGCACTCAGACCATCTGTCTCCGGGCGTGGATTTTTTCATGCTTGTGGAGGTTGGAACGATGGCCGAAGCATTTGCCGCAGACCATGCAACGGTAGGGAGTCTCCTTCGTGTGGGTCCTCTGGTGAGCAACGAAAGCCGATTTGTCCCGGAAACTTTTGGGACATTCGGGGCACTGATAGGGTTTTTCTCCCGTGTGGATTTTCTCGTGCTGAACCAGCCCGGCGTTCTGAGAAAAACTCTTCCCGCACTCCGCGCAGTGGTACGGCCTCTCTCCGGTGTGGGATCTCCTGTGCTTCCGAAGAGAAGACGCATCGCCAAAGCTCTTCCCACATTCCACGCAGACGTACGGCTTTTCTCCCGTGTGGATCCTCTCGTGGACAATGACGTTGGCCCGGTGCCGGAAGCTCTTCCCGCAAACCGAGCAGGGGTAGGGCTTCTCTTCTGTGTGGATCCTCATGTGGACGTGGTACGCGGAGGTGTTGCGGAAGCTCTTCCCACAGACGGGGCACTCGTGCGGTTTCTCTCCCGTGTGGATACGCTGGTGCCGGATCACGTCGAACTTGTGGGCGAAACTCTGCCCGCAGTCTACGCAGTGATACGGCTTCTCTCCCGTATGTGTCCTCTGATGAGCCAAGAGCCCACTTTTCTTGCTAAAGCTTTGTTCGCAGTCCGGACAAGGGAAAGCCTTCTTTGGCACGTGGCTTTTTTCGTGGGCGGTCAGTTGCGAACGCTGGCTGAAGCTCTGCCCGCATTTGGAGCAAATGAAGGGTTTCTCTCCTGTGTGGATGCTCTGGTGGGCCACCAGCACGTCTATCCCCGAAAAGCTCTCTCCGCAGTCCCAACAGGTGTACGGGTTCTCCACCGAAGCTGGAAAAAGAAACAGATTCGCCTGCTACTTTACCTTCGCCGGTTTGGGACTGATCTATGGACACACCTTTCGTAGGATCCAATCTGAGCTGGTCACTGGGACCAGAGGTTTGTTCTTCCTAAGTTTTCAGCCTTGTGCTGGAGCCCACTTCTCGTTCTCCAAGACACATCCTGGAGATTGACAATTTCCCTGAGGATGGGCTCCAGCCCACGTCCGGAAGCTTGGAAGGACAAACCTCAGGTCCCACTGACCGACTCAGATTGGATTCTGTAACGTTATCCTGGGACACGGATATTTCCCTTCACACAGCTTATGGTTCAGGATCCTGGGATGCGTTCGGCACTGCTCTGTCGGAGAGCATCCAAGGTGCTGCAACTCGCCTAGAACTGGGGGGGGGGGGGGAAGGAGGTATTCTTTACTTGCCCCAAAGGCTGAAATAAGGAGAGGCACTTTATAACGTGGCTGTCAACGCTGCAAATACTGTATATTCTTGCTTTGACAATATGCAGAACTGTCTGGTATTTTTATAGCTAAACCAGGCAACAGGGAAAAAGGGAGGAGAATAAGGAAAGCCAGGGAAAAAGAAACTGGAAGTAAATCACATCTTCCAAGTTAATTGGAAGATGTGAACCATGACCCCAAAATAAGGGGGGGGGAAATGCTTAGTATGTATATGTGTAACGGAAAAGAAGCCAGATCTAAGCATTTCCACCATGCTGTACTGACGTCTCTGTAACCTTAATAAATGCTTTTAGGAAAAAATATGCCTGAAAGTCCTTTTAAGTGTTTCGTTGATCAGACACATGACAGTGGCTTTTGTCTCTGCCAGGGAAGCAGGAGGCTTCCAAGGAAAGGCCCCAACTGGAGTCAAACCACTGGTAGTGCCAGCTCAAAGCTTTTTGTAAACTCGGCAATGCCACGATTGTTTCAAGAGTGCAGGGGCAGCTCTGGAAAATCTACCCCGCTCAATACTGGCCTCTTTATCAAAACTGAATGACGATTAAGTGGCAGCTTAAACAGAGGGATGGTACTGAAGGTATTTTAAATGGAAATTGAGTTTCATGATCCTGGAGCAGGGAAAACAACATTCTGGAGGTCAGGAGGGGAATTTGTGTGTGTGTAACAAAGCAAGTGGAAAAGCAATGTCACAACATCACTGGAACGGCTAGGACAGGGGTAGGCCACCCTGGCTCTTTTATGACTCGTGGACTTCAACTCCCAGAATTCCTGAGCCAGCCTGGCTCAGCTTGGAAACTGTTGTGGCTCCGTCCTGTGGGTCCCTCTCATCGGAGGAGGAAGGCTCTGAACATGAAGGAGAGGAGATGGCCAGGCCTCCCTCTCCAGGACCTTCCCCTCTGGTGCGGCCTTCGGTGCCTTCCGACGGAGNGAGGGACAAGCGTGCGCAGCAGCTAAAACGCCGTGCCAGAGATTTCAGCTGAGTCACTGGGCCACACCCCACAGGCTATATAAGCAAGGGGTGTGCCGTTTGAAACTCTTGTGACGAACAATTTTGCTGAATCTTCTGTTGCAGCACTCCGGCAATTATCCTGGACTTGTCTTGTGTTTGTATTGTGTTATCAGTAAAGGTCTTGGCAGGCAGCCACGGAGTTGCTGCCAAGTGTTTATCTGTATTTGGAAGTGCTGAGCAGTCTTTTAGCCCTCGGCTGACTGGTTGGGGGGTGTGAATCGGACGGGGGACAGAACAGGAAACCTCTCCCTTTCCCCTCAGCATGGAGGCAGCTCAGGAATTCTGGGAGTTGAAGTCCAGAGTCATAAAAGAGCCCAGGTTGCCTACCCCTGGGCTAGGAAGTGTGGGGAAGAATTCTGCTTTTTATGCCAATTTTTTTTTTTTACCTTTTACCTTGTTGTTTTGGGTTGAAAGGCTGGGAAATCCTTACCCAGTAAAGGGACATCCTCTTCTTTGTTCTCCCTGAACATCGGCCATTCGCTCGACTCCATCGGTGGCCCCGCAGACCCATGGAAATCCACAGTTGCCTCTTTGAAGGGCCACAGACCCTGAAAAAGCAGTCAGACCCAACATCAACAGCAGCAGAAGGAAGGAGTGAGAGATTAAGGAGGATCTGGCCCCTCTTGCCAGCCTAACTCTACGCCTAATCCTCAAATACATCCTTAATTGGGAAAATACGGTCTGTCTACATCAGGGGGTCTTCAAACGTGGCCCTTTTATGATTTGTGGACTTCAACTCCCAGAATTCCTCAGCCTGGCTGAGGAATTCTGGGAGTTGAAGTCCACAAGTCATAAAAGGGCCACGTTTGAAGACCCCTGGTCTACAGATAAGTAGTCCTCGACTTATAGCCACAATTGAGACCGGAATTTCAGTTGTAAGTTGAGTCATGACGTGACTGGATCCAATTTTACAACCATTTTTACAACAATCGTTAAGTTGAGTCACTGCAATCATAACCCAAGTCATGCAGTGGTTGTGGGCGAATCGATGGCTTAAGCCGTGGCAGGTTTCGATGTTTGGTCGCAAAAACGTTGCAAATCACGATCAAGTGTCCATGGATGCTGCAACCTGTCACAAATGTAAATTGACTGCCAAATGCCCAAATTGTGATCATATGGCGGTGCGGAAAGGATGATGGTTGTAAACTCCAATTTAGGTTGTGATTAACTTTTTTGAAGGATGCTATTAATTCAAACCATTGTTAGTTGAGGGCTACTTATATAGTGGACACCTTTGTGTGCTGGACACTTTATTATACTGCCTAGTATATACGATGGTATCTGTATAGGCCAGGTATAGGCAACTTTGGCTCTTTTCTGACTCGTGGACTTCAACTCCCAGAATTCCTGAGCCAGCCATGCTGAGGGGAAAGGGAGAGGTTTCCAAGCTGAGGCATGCTGGCTCAGGAATTCTGGGAGCTGAAGTCCACGAGTCATAAAAGAGCCAAGGTTGCCTACCCCTGAAATAGGCAGTCCTTGATTTGCAACCATTTGTTTAGTGACCATTCAAAATTACAACGGCACTGAAAAAAGCAACTTGTGACCCTTTTTCACACTTACGACTCTGTGGTCACGTGATCAAAATTCAGATGTTTGGCCACCGACTCATATTTACGACGGCTGCAGTATTCCAGGGTCGTGTGATCCCCTACTACGACCTCCTGACAAGCAAAGTCCATGGGGAAGCCAGATTCACTTAACAACCGGGTTACTAACGTAACCCCTGCAATGATTCGCTTAATAACGGTGGCAGGAAAGGTCGCAAAATGGGACAAAACTCACTTGACGAATGTTAACGAATTAGCAAAAAAGAAATTTTGGGCTCAAATGTGGTTTTAAGTCCAGGGCTGCCCTGTACTGCTGATTTTTCTCAAGGATGGGACGAGAAAGCAAAACAGAAAATCAGCCCAGATGACTTGGATCATCTTATCCAGACATGTCAAACACAAGGCCCGGGGAGGGGGCGGATGCGGCCCGCGAAGTGGTTTCATGTGGCCCGCGAAGCCATCCTGGAAACAGTGAGGGAATGGCCCCCTCTGCCTTGGCCCTGGCCCAGGCCGGCCGGGAGCCAATGTACAATTTTGTGGTGGCCATGTTGGCACTTGCCCCGGTCCCATCCCCTTCCGCCAGAGACCCTCAGATCTGTCCCACTCCTGCCCAGGCCCCCACAGGCACCCTTGTTGAGAACGGTGTAGAGCTGGCCACGCCCACCCAGTAGGCCACACCCACCCCATCCACGCCCACCCAGTAGGCCGCACCCACCCTGGCCACACCCACCCGGCCCCGAGGGCAACTGCAATGCTGATGCGGCCCTCAATGAAATTGAGTTTGACACCCCTGATCTTATCTCTACATCCATCCTGATGGGCTAAGATGGCAACTCCCAAGAATTCCCATCTGGCAAAGCTTCTAGGACAGTGGTTCTCAACCTGTGGGTCGGGACCCCATTTGGGGTCCATCGGCCATTTCACGGGGGTCTCCAAGCAAGGCTGTCCGCCATTTTTTTTGCCCACCATTTTCCCCCCCTTTTCCGGCGGGTGCCTTACCTCCCTTGGGCTGGGCCAGCTGGTGGTCGGCCTGCTCCGTCTCTGCCGCTTGCCAGCTACGCCTCGGCCGGCGCAGGGGGCGGAACCACGCATGCGCGGCGCTCCCGGGCAGGGAAAGTCCTCGACTTACGACCGGTTGGGTAGTCCTCGACTTACGACCGGTTT